TAAAAATTTTTTTCCAATAATTTTTTATAAATATTACTAAATATTACGATGATAAAAAGTAAAATTTTCACTGAAAATAATTGAAGAACATTTCAGATAATTTAACAATAATGAAATTTTAATTTAAATAAAATTAAAAATCATCGTTTTATATAAATAACAAAACGTTTGCCAAATTTATCTTTCACAAATATACTCATAATAATTCCGGTTAAATTATAATGTATTACAATTTTTACAAGAGAAAATCTAGCGTCATTCGAAAAGAATTCAGAAGCGACAAATTCCTAGCGATCAATAAAACAGCTGTAACAAAACCGATTACATATCTTGAAAATGACTTAACATATTTCGCTTACTTATTGCATCATAACAATCGTTCTCACTTTAGCAACTAATCGATCAACAATATTTAAAAGTATTTACCTTGTCGAAACCGAATATATCGTAAAATCTGAAAATCTAAAACCTGTTGCAGAGGAAATTCAATTAGTCATGAATCATGCTCATACAAAAAAGGTTAACTTGCATTGTGAGTCTGGAAATGTTCTATTTTCTAGCTGAAATGATTTCGAACAGGAATTAAAAAATTATATATTATTTAAAATAAATTTAATTTAAATAATTTTAATTTTTTCAATTTTGACTGATATAAAATAAAATAAAATAAGATGTATTGTAAAATAATTATTATTATAGTTAAGAAATGAAAAATTATAAATCAGCGTTTCCTAACCTCTATCTCTATAACCTCTATCGTTTACGAATCTGCTATATATATTCATACATATATATTTTTCATCAAAATTCTCGGTGGATATGAAATATTCATAAAATCTTCTTTTTCACGGTTAGTTGTATCACTAATTATTACACAAGACATATTTCATCAATCTAATATCAGGATAAGAATTTCATTAATGCAATACAAGGATCGAAAGTTATGCACGAAGTTGCACATCTATCTCTATTAAATTGCACGTTCATTCTGAATTTCATAATTCGCGCTGATTAATCAAGACTCAATGTTCATGGAATCGGCAGTGATCCATGGATCACTTATCCGTATATTTCAAAATGATTCGCACATTTGATCTATAACTTCAAATTTTTGAATTAAAAAATAGATAGTCACGAGATCGTTATCAATTTGAAGTATCGATGTGATTATCATGGATGAAGTTACAGCATGAAATATTAGCAAATGTCGAAATCATGTTTTCGAAATGATGTTTAGTAATTAAAGATAACTGAAATATGGAATGATAGCAAAATTTATAAAAATTTTAGAGAGATTTATTCTAAAAGTCAAAATTTAAAAAAAAAATAGAAAATCAAAATTTTAATAATATTTTAAGACATATTTTTATAAAATAATTATGAATATAAAAATTATGAATAATATAATTATGAATAAAAAAAAAATATATAATAAATTATATAATGAAATGTCATTCATTAATTCATTTATAATTCAAAATTATATTTTATTTTCTATTCCTTAAAATTAATATTTATTTAAAAGAAAAAAAATTATATAAAAAATATGGTTTACAGATGAGATTATTTTTTGATATAATTTAAATCTAAACGGTTTATTTCAAAAATATCTAGTCCATTTATATAAGATAAAACTCATGTTTCATATTTGAACGATAAGATATATCAAACATTAAGGAAATGAATTTTTTACGTAAAATTGAGTTAAAAATTTAAATCAAAATAGGATTAAAATAAATCCAATAAGATTTTCATTAAGCAAAGAAATATTTCAATAAAATATTAATCAAAGTTTTTTTTACATATACGATCTTTTTAATTTTCCTTAGTGATAAATATTATATTCAATGAAGAATTTTTACTAATTCATTAAAACTTTATAATATAGTTCTAGATTTAAAATAGACTTTCATTCAAACTTTCATATCGAACTCTATTAATTCTTCAATTTTTCCTTCTACTTTTAGCGATGACGTGAATCGATGTTGAAGAAACTTATCGATTTCTTTTCTAGAAAATGTAAAAATAAAATTGTGAAGTATTGTGAAAAGAAACAAATAGAACTATTATTTAAAAAGTAATATAATATAATAATAATAATAATAGTAATAAAAATAATATAACTAAAAAAACCAATTGTTATAGATCTATAATTCATTTCATGTTTACACAAACATATTAAATATTTTCACTTTTATTATATTTATCCTGAATCGCAGATGACCCAGACATATCTATAAGGCACGGAACCCATTAACATACTTCAAAGCCGAAACACATGTTTCATACACGATTCAAAGAAAATTATTATTTTTTCAACCTTGCATTTAGAATTCGATAGCACACATATTCTCTAAAATCAAGGTTCAATTAAATATTCAAAACTACATTCAATATTCAAATTGTAACAAGAAAGATAAAACTAGCCCACTTTCGATTCACTTTTATCTTGGATCATCTCTTCTATAGCTTGAAATTAAGCGAACGCCTACGATTTAAATGTCGCCTGACGTGTAAATTTACCGTGTACCACATTTCACGTACCACACGTCCGATAAATAATCATTGAATAATGCCTAATAAAATGATACATTTCATTTCTTTATTTGTTTGAATCATATGTGGAATTTTTGCCAATTTCAGTATAATAATAATAATTTCGATAAAAGTAAAAAAAAGAAAATGACCTTGAAATATTCACGATCAATGACTAGAAAAAAAAAATATCTAATTCTGATTAATTGTGTTTTTCTATATCGATTGAATTTTTATATAAGCAACTTTCTTATACTTTCGAGTTTAAAAAATAACTGAACATATTTACATAGTAACTATGTTTATCTGTCTATATGCAAAATATATAAATATATAAATATAAATATCAATAGTATATATATGAAATTAAATGAATATTAAATTAAATGAATTTTTTAAGTTCACATAATTATAGAATTTGCAAATCATCAATATAAATATGTAATTATAGTGGAGAGAATTATATTTTTGATATGACACATATAAACGATCAATGATTAGAATTCATACAATCTTTTTTTCATCTTTTTTCAACTATTAAACATCATATTAAACAAACATTGCATTTTTATATATGTTTTATTCAATTTTATTCTTATTATTAATGCATATCATTATTTTGAAATTAATTGAATTATATATAATCATTGAATATAAAAATGCAAGTTAAAACATCTTAACTAATATATAATCTAATAATTGTAATAATAGATAATAAATAAAAAAATAAATAAATATTAAAAATAATAAGATATTTTTCAAATTATATTTTGTTAGTTTTTTTATTTTTTAATTAATATATTTTTCATATAATAAAATATTTAAATAATTATTCTTTCTTGATAATAAATAATTAGTGATCATTCCAGAAATATATTTTATCCATCTATTCATACATTTATAGTTCGAGGATGATTCGCATGAAGTTTGTCGCAAGCAAAATGCTCGCGTTGACTACTAATATTCACATGCGAATACATTTGTCTGGCAGTAATGATCTACCAAGTTACAAATAGGTAATTTTATTTTATTTATCTAACCATAATTCTTTTTTTTTTCTTTAATAATTCCACATATTTCATCAAATACTTATATCACATATTATATTAAATTGAAAATATGATTACATTAAAAATTATTATTCAATTCATTTTTAAAAATATTTTATCTTTGTTTAACGAACGAGTTAAATTCTTAAGTGAGTAATATTAAAAAAAATCACGAATACTAATCGAGCGCACTGCTTATAACTTGCACGTTTAAGAATTTTACTATCTGAAAATAGACTAATTGACTTATGTAATTCGGTAAACGTGGTCCCTCGATTTTCAAGTGGGAACGGAACTGCACGATTTCCACGACAAAACGCTCAACGCGGGATGTTTGATCGTGCCGATTTCACATCCATGGCAACGTATGTCCTTATTATCTAAACGTATTTATCGGTCCCTTCATAAGGGAACGGATGCAGCTATCTAAACGATTAGCGAACAGCATCCGGCGCCTAGACACTATCCGATCTAAAAGACGTTGTGTGGGTAAGCATTGAAGAACTGGATTAATGCTCACAGACAACGGCGAATACCGATTCTAGAGTGATCGAGGATGGGAGGATCCCACTCGATGATGAGTGACGTTTATTGCACGTTCGTAAATCATTCTGGCGTGTGTTTGCAAATGTGTGCAACAAGAAAGAATCTCGTAATTGAGGACTTCAGAAGAATTGTATATATGTTCTGAAAAGGAACTCTTTATCTAGAGAAAATTGATGCAGGGCGGAGCCTAAAGTTTTCGTGCTTGGAAAAGCGCAGGCGATATCGCTTCCTCCGGGTTACCGGCCCTCTGATCA